TCTTTCCTGCCCCGAGCAGGGGGTTGGACTCAATGATCTAATAGGTCCCTTCCGACCCTAGAAATCTGTGAAATCTATTAAATCTGGTGCTCAACAGACAGCATAATACTAAAACTCTTTTCTCTTAAAATGTATTTAATAATCATTTTTAAGCTGAGACTGGCAAAGGTGATCTAGATGTTCAACCAAGTCATTCTTTACACAAAATAACTGAAAATTCTGAATATTTTAGTGTTTTGGCACTTTTTCCTGGTCCCATAGAATTTCTTAAAGATTCCTCATACCAGGAGGCCTTTTTAGTCCTGAACTTATACTTGCTCCTAATAACTTGCATCATCTAATAACTTGCAATGGGTTTTTCATCATAAAGTCATTCCAATATACTGTATAAGAAAATGCCAACTTGGAATGTTTATAAATTCAACATGAGATGTGGCTTCCTAGCAGAGTTTTCACACCTCAAAAACAACGAAGTTGTACCTATTTCCATTAGGGGTGCATTTGGCTCATAGAGTTTAAAAATACTGTAGTTACTGATGTTTTATAGCCTTAGTGACTCAATATAATAGTATAACTTGGGTTTTTTTTACTTCAAATGTTAATAAATACACATTCTACAGTGTAACTCAATTGAATCAAGCTACAGTGAACTAAAGTCCACTTTAGTTCAGTGGACATGGTAGCTATTTAGAATTTCAAGTGGTACTCAGAGGGTTGCTGTATTGAAAAGCAACCATATCCAAAGTAAAAGTAGTGTGAAGAACATCAACAGCCTACATTATTGTACAAGGGGGGAATTTCATTTTATTTTAACACGTTAAGTAAAATATTGCTTATAATGAGGCATTAGCTATTGAGTTGGAAATTTAAGGCTAATCACCAGTACTACTACATTTATCTCTGAGAAGATAACCATTTAGTAAATGAGAATTTGTCTAACTTTTTAAAACTTGAGAAAAAAGAAATACTAGTCATGCCAGTTTGCCTTCATTCATTCATTCAAAATTGAATTGTTTCCAAGCTTCACATGTTAGAGGAGTAGAAACACTTTCTCAATGAATAACTACCAATACCTAATTTATTGTGTAAGAAATGGAAGGAAGTTGTAACATTTGTAAACTGATTTCTTGCTATAGCCTGAATAACTACTTGGACAGCATCCATTTGATGATGGCGCTTGACAGGCCAACGGTTGTGAATTCCAGGTGTTCTGAGCTAATATCTGCAGAGCAGAGTGTAAAAAAAATAAAGTTAGCTAATAAATAGTTATCTCCTGGCATTAGGAATGAAAAGGAAGGGTTTTTATAGTTAAGGACTTATTTTCTGCTTAAATGCTAATATTACTACTGGAAATTCAAATTTGAAAGACCAAGAGGCACTTACATCAGTTTTGTACCCCATGTGGGTTATTATCTGTAAACAGAGTGGTGATTTTGTTTAATAAATGGCTTATTTCTGAAGTAAGTAATAGGAATAAAATAAACGTTTCCCTGTTGGGAGACTTGTTTTATATAGTCATTTAAGCAACCAACTGATAAATACTTGAGAGATTTTTTCTGTATATCTGAGCGGTCATCAGAGACATTGTCGGTTGTCTTAACTATATGAATGAAACATTATTTACTAACCTCTTCAGTGCTGCCAGTTATGCTGTGGCCACCATGGGCAACAACTTTAAAAAAGGGGCTCAAAAAAATGGTCAATGTGAGCAGCGACAAGAATATAAAAATGACAAGAATCAAGAAAAGGTAATGCAATGGGGTTTGGGCTTTTAGATAACAAAATACAGGTCTTATGCTACAATTCAAAAATAATAAAGCAGAACACTTTTAAATATAATTTAATTCTATTTAAATCTTTAAATCATTAAGCATTATACCTGCATAACAGGGTAAGCTAGCCTTATCCCTGGCCAAAAATTGAGAGAGATCCTTTTGAATCAATAATGTTAAAATACTTTAAGGATGTGATTTGACATCATTAAGATAGATATCCATCCTGAAAAAAAATAATTATTCTGGTTCCTTTGTTATGATATCACTGGAGAAACTTATGTATGTCAGGAAAGGTGACTGTGAAAAGACTTCTTTACACAACAGGCTATGGATAATTAAGGCCTTTTCTTTGAAATAAAGTTAACCACTCCTTTTTAAAAAAGGGGCTGTCTCCTAACTTTTGCAGAAGCCATATTCTGGATATTTGGGGTACTGCTGGAATTTTGCTGAAAATAAAATTAATGACTTTCCCTTAAGTTTTTACTGCAGCAGAAGAAAACATGGATCAATTTTTATTAATTTCATATTTGGTGGAACAGCAATCACTAAAAATGTCAACAAATAGGGGCTGAGCCTTGGCAATTGTGTGTAATTTCTTGCAACAGACTCCAAGAATAGTTATTAGAGTTTGGATTCTATTCTTAATGCCCAGAATTAGAATTTCTTGCTATACTGAACCAAGTAGAAAAAATTAGTAAACAAAGTGGATCAGGAAAGACCTGCCTGTTGGAAAACCAAGTACATAGCCTTTGCTCCTCCATAGGCATTCTGATTCAGTTCTAGAAGTCAGAAGCAAAACAAATGTACTACGATGGAAACTGGATCATGCTACTCCTAAGCATGTCTACTTCATCTTTGTTCCATGCAGTTTTCTTGTTCAACAGTTAACTCAGTCTCTCTCTAACATAACATCTTTTCACTGAACAAATTATATAAATTAAAAAAAATACGAATCCACTGAAAAATTAACTTTAAGAGAAATCAAATACCATTTCATAAGTGGGTTCCACAGAGTTGATATACAAAGAAATAATGCAAAATGCTGACAAAATCCAAAATACTGAAAAATTTAACTAGGAGTGCAAGATGGAGGAAAAAGCCCTGGCAGATGACTGAGTATACTGTTAGTAGTCATAATTATTGCTAATGCCATTAGTTTAACGAAAGCCTTAGACACCTTTGTGTCTAGCTTTAATAAGGTTATCCATCACACAGCAGTGGTTTATAATCAATCCCCTTGTCGATCACTACATAATACATATAAGGGGAGGGGGAGAGGACTACAACGCAATACACATTATTTCTTTTATGCTAATTTGAAAGCCAAATGCTGGCAACATGCCCAAAAGTCTGTTCTTTTTAAGCAGTGGTGCACACACTGCTATGTTGCAAGCTGCATCTAATACAAGAGAAGTCCTACCATCCTAGGCCAAAGTGCCTCTCATCCAGGGAACCCAGGCACTCAAAGGTATTTCTTATTGTGCTATTCTGCAAGCTCAGTACAGACCACTGAAGCTTGTGCAGTTTTTGGTCTTTATAATGTATTTGTAGAGCTTCCATCTGAACTGTACCATGAAAGCATGTACTGAAGATGTAGTCCCTACTCCACAGCCTCAAATTATATTCCCTCCAGTCACAGTGCTCAATTCACTGGATTAACCATTTAGGACTGCTTTTTTATCCTGGCAAAATATGCCTATCAAATGCCCATAGCACATGGATATTTGCTTATTTGAAACTATTTTGGTTATTTACAACCTTTTTGTTAGGGGAAGGGGATGGCATGGGTTGAGGAAGCCTCAGACAAGCAAGCCAAGCATCGCCTGCAGGAGCAGCCCAGCCTAAACCATTGACAAATGAAACAGGTAATCAGGTAAGTGACATGGGCCTGGGCACCGCTGGGATTAGGGGGACAGTCCATTCATCTTCAGGAGGCCTCAAATGCCTCTATACTAATGCTCACAGCATTGGGAACAAGCAGGAGGAACTAGATCTCCTGCTAGCCAGCACCAACCCAGACATAGTGGGGCTCACCGAAATGTGGTGGGACCCAATGCATGACTGGGCAGCGAATATCAAGGGTTACAGGTTCTACAGGAAAGATAGGACAGGAAGGGTGGGGGTGTGGCGCTCTATGTCAAGGAGCAACACACATCCACAGTGAGTAACACTGGGTCAGAGGAGGAGCAAACAGAAGTGCTCTGGGTTAGAATACAAGGGGGTCAGGGAGAAAGGGACTTAACGGTGGGGGTCTACTACAGACCACCCACCCAAGGAGAAGATCGAGACCAGGAATTCTTAAGTCAGCTCACGGAGATAATTAGGTCCAAGGATGTGGTCGTCATGGGTGACCTAAACTTTCCAGACATCTGCTGGGAGGAGCAGACAGTCAGGTCTGACCACTCATGCAGGTTCTTAACTTACATACAGGACCTCCATCTAATCAAGGAGGTTGTCGCAGAGCACTTAGGTGCCCTGCTCCTAAAGAGGAGAAACTGCTAGAGAAAGAGCCCTAGCAGTGAATAAGGAGCCCAGCTGTTAGTTGCCAGGGCAACTGGAGTCAGCAAGTGACCCACACCTGCTAGTGGTCAGCTGACTGTAAGGAGCAGGGCCTGGCCCTTATAAACTCTAGGAGCTGAGGCCAGAGGCAGTTCCCTGCCAGTGGCTAGAGAGGAAGGAGCTCCCTGAACGAAGATGCGAGAAGAAGCCTGACCGCAGGTACAGCTCAAGCTGGGTAAAGGATGGCAGCTCTAGCATGTTTGAGCAATGTGGGTTTAGCCAGGTGGCTTTAGGTTATGTTATAGCCTAGGGGCTTGTGTTTTGTTTTGTTGTTACACCAGTGGTTCGGGTGAGGCTATAAGGGGATGGAGGAGGCCTCATAGGAGACTCACAGTAGTGTGAGGACCCCAGTCCCAGAGAGGGGCAGCTGAGAAGCCCCAGAGAAGGGGGCATTGTGGAGAAGCCCAGGGTGGGTATGGTGAGCCCCAGAGAGGGGGCATTACTGAGAAGCCCCAGTGCGGGTGTGGCGAGTGCCAGAGAGGAGGGGGCGGCTTACTGGCGAGCGCCAGAGAGGAGGGGGCGGCATTGCAGAGAAGGCCCTGAGAGAGGACGCAGAAGGAGACAGAAAGAGAGACCGAACAACGTCTATTCCAACTGCGAGGCTTGGGGCGTGGTATAAGGGGTGGTTGGATCCATGCATAGCCCATAAGGCTAGGGTGCCCTGAAGCACCTGTTTGCAGGACAAGACCCACGAGGGGTCAGGGAGTCTACAGGCCCAGAGGTTACAGTGGACCGTGTCCAAGAAGACATAAGGCAGCCTCCCTAATATATTGGAACATAAAAGACGCGGCGGACGAGAATTTGAGGGTGCCCTTGGGCCAACTTGGCATGGGAAGGGGGCCTTGAGGAGATCACGGCCCTCCTGCAGGACCCCACCATGACAGAGGTACACAGCCCCACCAGGGGAGACGCCTTGTTGGATTTGGTCCTGGCCATGGGCGATGCCTGGTATGGGGTCTGCGGGCGCTTGACCACCTGGGCGATAGTGATCATCATCTGCTGGAATTCACCATCAGCACAAGGTGGCGAAAGCCTCCAGCAAGGCAACCCGACTTCAGGAGGGCAGACTTTAACGAGGTGAGAAAACTAGTGGGGGAAGCACTGAGGTCCCAGAGCAGGAGGGGGTTGAGTGTCCAGGAGAAGTGGTCATTCCTTAAGGAGACGATCCTCCAAGCTCAAAGGGAAGTAATCCCTACATGAGTCAAAGGGGGCAAGAGGGCACAAAGGCCCCCATGGCTCACCAAAAGCATCTGGGAAGGTCTCCAAACAAAAAAGGAGGCATACACCTGTTGGAAGGGAGGGGCCATCACAAGAGAGGGCTACACCTCGGTAGCTCGGGAATGTAGGGGGGCGGTCAGGAAGGCCAAGGCGGAAATGGAGCTGGGACTAGCAACCCAGATCAAAGACAACAAGAAGTCATTTTTCAAATACATAGGGGGGCAAAAGAAGGTGCCAGGTAACGTGGGGCCTCTGCAGGACATGCTAGGAAATCTGGTCATCTCACCTGATGGTAAAGCTGACATATTCAACAATTTCTTTGCCTCTGTATTTCTGAGGAGGGACCTGGATATCTCCCCCATTGGCACCCCCGAGGGCCCTGTGGGTGGCACACCCAAGCCTAGGGTTAATGAGGACCTTCTCAGGGAACTTCTGGAGGGACTAGATGTATTTAAATCCGCAGGTCCTCATGATCTCCACCCCAGAGTGCTGAAGGAACTAGCAGGGGTCATTGCGGGACCTCTGGCACAGCTCTATGAGCACTCATGGTGCTCGGGCGATGTGCCAGAGGACTGAAAAAGGGCCAATGTGGTCCCCATCTTCAAAAAAGAGAGGAAGGAGGACCCAGGAAACTATAGGCCCATGAGTCTTACCTCGGTCCTGGGGAAGCTTTTCGAAAGAATTATTCTGGCACATGTTCAGGAAGGGCCAGCAGGGGAGGTTATGCTCAGGGGCAACCAGCATGGGTTCATTAGGGGCAGGTCTTGTCAAACCAACCTGGTGGCCTTCTCTGACCAGGTCACCAAGTGGTCTCTCACCCCATTCTCAGTAAGAAACTAGGAGACAGTGGTGTTGATGCCTACACAGTCAGATGGGTCACTAAATGGCTGGTGGGCCACACCCAGACGGTGGTGGTGGACAGGTCTTAGTCGACCTGGAGGGATGTGGGTAGTGGGGTTCCCCAGGGCTTGGTCCTTGGGCCCGCACTATTCAACATCTTCATCAGTGACTTGGGAGAGGGAGTCAAAAGCACCCTGTTCAAATTCGCAGATGACACAAAGATGTGGGGTGAAGTGGGTATGCTAGTAGGAAGGAACAGGCTGTAAGTGGATCTAGACAGGTTACAGGGATGGGCCGATGAGAACAGGATGGGGTTCAACACTGACAAGTGCAAGGTGCTGCACCTGGGGAGGGAGACCCAGCGGCACACCTGCAGGCTGGGGAACTCCCTTCTCACCAGTGTCGAGACCGAAAAGGATCTTGGAGTCATCATTGATGCCACAATCAACATGGGCCAACAAAGTGGGGACACGGTCAGGAAGGCCAGCCATACCTTGTTGTGCATCCACAGATGCATCTCAAGCAGGTCCAAGGAGGTGATCCTCCCCCTCTATGCGACACTGGTCAGGCCACAGCTGGAGTACTGCGTCCAGTTCTGGGCACCGCACTTCAGGAGGGATGTGGCCAATATGGAGAGGGTCCAAAGGAGGGCCACCCACATGATCAGGGGTCAGCAGGGCAGGCCCTACGAGGAGAGGCTAAGGACCTGAACGTGTTCAGCCTCCAAAAGAGAAGGCTGAGAGGGGATCTAGTGGTAGTCTACAAATTAGTCAAGGGGGACCAGCAGGCATTGGGAGAGTCCCTGTTCCCCTGAGCACTCCCGGGAGTTACAAGAAACAACAGACAAGCTAACGGAGGGTAGTTTCAGGCTAGACATTAGGAGGCACTATTTCACTGTTAGGGTGGCTAGGACCTGGAACCAACTTCCAAAAGAAGTAGTGCTGGCTCCTATCCTGGGGGTCTTTAAAAAAAGGCTGGATGAACATCTGGCCGGGGTTGTTTGACCCCAATACTCTTTCCTGCCACAGCAGGGGGTCGGACTAGATGATCTTCTCGGGACCCTTCCGACCCTACCAACTATGAAACTGCTCTGATACACATGCAGGATTTAGCACTCAATTAACAAAATTAGTTGAGTAGTGTTTGGTTATATTCTCCCTACACACATTTCATGTCTGCAAATGCAATATCAGCTGATATGTTTGAAAGGATTCTAAGCAAGTTAGAAATTCAGTGGACCTGGGTTCTTAAAATGCCAGTGATGACAGGCATTCATAACATTCATGAGGATTTTTTTTCAGTTAGAACAAACCTGTACTCTCCTTATTTCATATTTCTCAACCTTTCTTCATAAAGAAGGTGCTTTTCATAGAGCCTTGGGCAAAGTCCTAAAGACAGCTCTTTTCCACCTTCCCAAGCTGGAGGGTGGAATTTCTCTACAAACACCTTGTTTGAGGTGGCTGAGAGGGAAGGGGAGGAAAGCAAAGGGACTTTAAAAAAAAAAAAAAAAAAAAAAAAGATCGGCATCCTTTCCCAATAAAAGAGAGCATAAAAATCAGACTGTGGAGAAAATGAAAATTACTAAATAGGTTAGACAATAGTTGCAGAGCTTCTTTTGCTGATCTTTTACACTCTTTTGCTAAACTCACTTGCTCATGAGTAGAAGCACTGCTGATTGTTTGCACAGGTTAGATCATATCAAAGTATTTTTCAGAAAACAGAATGTATAGCCTTTGATATTGAGCTATATATTAAAGGACTGTTTATAGTCCTTTAAAGGATTTAACCCAAAAACCCTAACTTAAACCCTATACTCACAAGCTAGGTTAAGATATTCAAAAAGCCTGAGGTGGAATTGATCTAAGTTATGCAGTTCTCTGTAAGTGGCATAGTTTAGATTGGCAGTGAACAGAACACACATTTGCCCTTTGATAGTGGGAGGAGAGCATATCTTAGACTGGATTCTGCCATTTTTAAACCAGTATATGTGTGCCAAAATTCTGTTATGGGTATAAACCAGTTCTGTGTGCCAAACTTCTGTTCTGTTAGGAGTATAGATCAGTTTCCAATCATTTATACCTGTAAAATTGTAATGTTTATACCTGGACACACCCTACTTGGGGATCTAGCTAAACTGGTTAGTAAAAAACACCAAAACATAAGCTTCAACCTAACAGCCTTCTCTAAGCTTGTCTCCCTAGTAATCCTTTTTGATGCTTCTGCCCCAAAGACATACGTCCAATTTCTCTTACAGTTTTGTAGAGTTATGCATCACCAGCCAGCATGATTTTTCAATTAATGACTAGAAATCCTAGCACCTGAACTCAATAAAAGCACTCTGCATTCTGATACAGCACAACTAAGGCAGTCTACATTTACATACAGAATATAAGTGATTTATACCACTTTGCAAATCATATGAGTTTAGCTCACTGTCTTTAATACGGGTCTCACTATATTTATTTCTACATGCATTATTTAAGCAAATGTATGCAGATTACGATAAGAAATTGTTTAAAAAATTGTTCCTTTGGGGGCTGTATTACTTCATTGACAGAAAAACCCATTCACCCATATAACGGAACAAACGCAGACCAAGGTGAGACTTCCATAAGTGTTACTAAAGTTATGGAGAAAGGAAACACTCTCAGTTTTAAATTCATTTTGAGTAATGTGTTAGCACATATTTTTCACTTTAATGGCTAAACCCACATTGAATTCATATGACCTACCAATATGGATTTCTCATAGTCAAAATTAGTTTTCCACAAACAGCTACCCTATTTCTACCACCTCTTTCTCAATACTGGGGCTCCAGAAAAACATTAAACTTTAGGGTTCAGTTGTGTCAATATTTTTGTTTAAAATTTAAAAAATGTTAAATACTGGGTGTGACTTGCAGAAGGATGTGATTCATTTTGATGGAACAAATTCTAGGTATCTGTATTGGTGCTTATTAATTACTTTAGCAGGAGTGTATTGTTCCTTCAGTTCCTCTTGAGGATTGAATACCACATAACATATGTTAGATTTTGGCAATCTTATGTTTACAGAAGTTTTAAAAATATTTTGAGCAGTTGTGCATGAAATTATTTAATATCCCTCATGAGAGGAAATGCTAACAATGTTAAAACCAAATACAACTGCTTTCTATGAATACTTTTTTCATATCTCGTGAGAAACTACTGAATGGAATATGAAATATCCACACTTACTCAAGTTCTGGAAAAAGAGACAACAATAGTACCTGAAAAAAAGATATTAATAGAGGAAAGCTTAATACTGAAAACAATTGAAAATGACACACATTGACCAGGTCACAGTCCCAAATTAGGAGAAAGTAGATTTCTTTAAGAGGTAAAAACTGGGTTAAACATTTAATACTAAGATCATAAACAATGGTAAAAGAGCATCTGCTTAGAACGTCAAGGTATTTTGCTTACTGTGACATTAGTAAAGAGCTGCCAGATATAACAAGCAGCTAAAGCATATCTGAAATTGAAATTACCTGCTGAAAGGGAAACGGGAGTCTATTAGCATCAGTGCTCAGCCTCTTTATATAATAATTATTCTATCCAAGCACTAGATGCTATACTTGAGCCACAGAATTGGCAGCATCAGAGCTTTTATCTGGCAGTGAAGGATATATGCCATTTTCCCAGACAGGTGGCAAACAGGACAAGATGCAAGAGATCTGGTTTAATTAGGCTGCAACTGCACAGTGCAAGTCATTATTTCTTCTTTAATCAATTTGATGTGGTGGACCCCCCCATCCCAAAAGCATTCTAGCTAGTCCCTAATCTGTTCCTGGAACCCCATTTCCCTCCCTATATAGAGAGCAGAGGAGCTGGAAATACGTTGTCTTCTCTCTCTACAAGATATTAGGACCCCCAGTCCTATTACTAGATTCATTTGGGGAATTATTTACTGTAACTCCATTTCCAATTTCTTTAACCACAAGCAATATTTGGGATTTGATTATGGAAATGAGATCAGATTAATTTTTGGCCTCGGACCTCTTAGTGGCTCTCAAACAAAACCTTTTTCCTTTATATGGATGGGGACTTTTTCAAGAATAAAATCATGGTTACGTTTTGAATTCATAATAAAAATGCATGACAGTTTCCAGAATCAATGTGGGTAGAATGCTTTTGCATGCATCAGTAGTGTAGAGAGTTCACAGAGCACTGTAATTCTTTCTATAATGACAAGCTGTTTAGCTGCAACAGCATCTGTGGATGCAAGAAGGAACACCAATCTCCAGTATTTACTCATTTCCTGTCCATGTACAGTTAGTGTAAAAGAAGTCTTGTACAAGTAATCTGAGAAACACAAAATATTCCACATTTCCTCCATGCATCCCACACAGACTAACATCCTCAAGATCACACAAGATGTCAATGGGAATGTATGGAATTGAATCCTACTTCCACACTAGCACCTTTAACACTGAATCATCCTTCCTCCTTAGCTCCAGTGTTGAAAAATGGTAGGGTAGATGGGGATAAACTATAGTCACGAAAAATAAATGTTCCAAGTACCATCTAGAGCAGGGCAAAGCCTTTTTTTTTAATGAAGCAAGACATAATAAATAAGGAAGCCATTCACATATTATAGCATCTGTACACAACTGCAAAGGACAGGGGAAGCAAGCCTTATAGGCATGTCATCTTTCAAGTATGAATTGTAAAGAAGAAAGATTAAAAGGCTAGCAACATCAGTCAAAAATATTTGCAATTTTATCATTAACCATCCTACAATGAAGAATTAGTTGGTGCAATTTCAAGGGTTAAAAAAAGACCTAAACAAAAAAGGAATATATTTTGCAGACCACTATGATAAGAAAATAGTAAAAGCAAAAGAGTTCTTTGAACCAACTGTAAATAGTGAACTACATTAGCTAAATTCCAGAACCTACATTCATTATTTGGTTGACTTTTCTGGGTTTTTTTTTTTCTTTTTTATTGCTTCAGTTTCCCATCAGGAACCAACATGTCACCCTACGTGTAATGTAACTTGCCTGCTTTACCCATCCAGAATGGACTGACTCACTGGTAAGCTCAAGTCTCACTCATGGCAAAGTTTTCTAAACGGTTTCCAGGCAAAATATCTAAAAAAAAAAAAAGAACCTCTCTTCTCTCAGAACAACCATTCCCAGAAGCTTCTTTCTTGTCTTCAGGGTAGCCAATCCAGCTACATTTGGTTCCTTCCCAGATAGTTCTGCTAACTGAATGAGCCTGGTTGGCCCCAGGCCTATTGACACTTAGAGTTACATGCTGCCATGTTATGCAAGGTCTGTGGCCTTAGGGCTTGTAGTAATCAAGGAAACCAAATTCAATTTCATCTTCCAGGAAAAGTAAAATAATTTCCTTGATATAATATTAATGTGGGAATATTACATCCATCAAGACATCTTTGGCAGACCTCTGCATCTGAGATACTTACATCAGAAAGACAAACTAGTAGTATTTTGTATTTTCATCAGGATTCAGATAGTTCTACAAACATTCCTGGTTCCAGGATAGTTGGTAATAGTTTCTTTTTCTGAGTGATCCCCAGCAAATGCTGTCACATGAAACCTCATGCCAATGGAATGCATATACACTACAAGTGGAATGCCAGTGGGCAACAACTTTAAAGCCACACTGACTGTAACATAAGTAATCATTTTTTTACACCAATAATACTAATTCTTCACAGCTCAGTTTAGCCCCACTCCATTCATCTTAATATGTAATCATTGTCTTCTCTAGAACTTACATACCGAAGTTCTTCCCTCTTTTTCCCAATGAACCAGGGAAGATAAATCAGTGATATAATAATACATCAGTTGCATAATATTAACTGAGATTATCCATAGTTTTCTAATAACTTGTCTATTGTCTAAGTAGGTCTTGCTACTTTCAGAATGATAAATAGTTCTGAGTAATGACTGTGATGCATTTATCCTTAATGTACCAAAAGTGTAAGTGAGAGAGGCTTCATTGGTGTTCTAGTCCATCCTTCACAAATCCCTTTCACTTGTGCACATACATATATAGAATTAACCAGATCTGCCCTTTTAGGGAGTAAATTCAAAATTTACTACTTACAAATGTCTTAGTATATCAAATTTATATCACACTTTATTTCTACCATTTTTGTAGAACTTCAGCTCAGAATAAGTAAAAATCTAGTATTTATATCAGCTGTAATAAGCATCTGAGAATTAGTAACATACTTGGGGATGGGGGTGGTAAGTGGGGCATCAGCCCTAGGCACTGACTTGGAGGTGGCACCAAAATGGCATCCACCAAAATTTTTGCCATGGGAGATGTAGGAGCTAGGCAGAAACAGCCTTATGTCCAAAAAAGACCTAACAATACAGCAGTTTTAGCTGTGCAATCTCTCATTAAAATCAATAGAAATAGTAAAATTACAAAAATAAAGCATTGTATAATTTTCCATTGTGAATATGCTCACAATCATTTAACAGCTACAGTTCATTTTTCCTCCTATTGTATTATTGAGCATACAATAGAATTAGTGGTAGATAAACACTAGTTAAATATAGTGAGGCTTCACCTTTTTATGTCATTAAGTTGTAATGTAATGTATATTGTTTAAGCTATAAGCAAGCCTTATGAAGACCTAAAATACTATAGTGCACATACATAGAAAAGAAAGCAAGCAGAAACATGCATTTGCAATATCTTTAAAATTAAAAATGCAATATATTTAAAAACCACAACTATTCTAGAAAATATCAATATTTCCTGTTTTTCCAAATGATTAATTAACTTCTAAAGTCATAGAACATAATGCCATTCCATATATGGAAATGCCACTCAATAACATTGTGGCAGATCAAATCTTTTCTTGGTATGGAATGAGTAGGTGGGAGCTCTAAAGCATAACCGAAGTCAGCTAAGGTGAGAATTTACAGTGAACTAGTTTGTCCATGCTTATTCCCTGCATGAACACTTAGGGCTAGAGGCTAGTTCTCCTCCTCAGTACTTTCATGCCCAAGTAACACCCTATTCTACTGTGCTCAGTCCCTGAAAAATGCAAAAGGTCGGTGCTTCTTGTTGCTTCATGTGACTTGGTCTTAAAGCTATGATGAAGGTTCATTACAAAATTAGTCACCTGAAGAGTTTTCTGGGACTCAAGCAGAGTTAAAGACACTAAAGTGGAATAGTATCTGGTCTTCATAGCACAGTGAGCATCAGGTTGTTATCCCACTTTGACAACATCTATGGTAAGTACATAGGGGCCATGTTCCCACAAGTGGAAATGTGAACTTTGCAGCACCACAAAGGCTCTTGAAACACTTCAGAATGCACATAGTGCACATGAATTGGTTTGTGATGCTCTATATTTGCAGCATAGTGGCAAAATTAGATACTGGGAACTCCTGGTATCTAAAAAACAGATGGCAAAAAATGTGATGCACTGCACAAGGCAGCAGTGTAACCCACCCAAAACCAGAGCCTGGCTGGACAAAGCCATGCTGCAGCTGCTGGCCAGGCTCCACATGCCTGAATCACCACCACTGCAACCCCAGGAGGTCCCCAGGATCCCAGGTAAGACTGCTGGGGCCATCCCCAAAAATATGTGCTACTGCTACATGTACTTGGGAAAATGCACATTCCCACACACAGAGACGTGCCCAAGTGGCACATCTACACATGCAATTAGCATGGCTGAATAAACTCCAGCACAGTTTGTATCAGAGCGTATTGCTCCTGGGTGCAACAGTTACATGTGCACCCAGGGCTGGAGCACATTGAGCCAAGGCAGCACAGCCCCAGCTGGCAGGAGGCCTGGGGGGTCAGCCTGCCAGCCCAGGGCTGTTCCAACCTGGCTCAACATGCTCCAAAGGATCTGGCTGGGGCACCAGGTGCTACAATGCAGGGCTACCCAGCAGGCAGCCCCTGCACTGTAGCATCCTCATGCCCCAGACAGTCCCACTTACCATCTACATGTGTGTTGTGGCAGAGTAAATAACCCTTCTGTATCATAAGACCTGTGCCAGGCAGTACTATCCTGTGGTGGAGTTAATTAATTAGTTTACTCTGACGTAATAGCGCTGCATGTGTAAATGGTCATGCTTTACTGTGGAGCTAAACTCCGCAGTAAAGTGCATGTGTAGATGTCCCCATGGAGTAACTATAGGGCACATCTACACGAGATGTGTTACTGCACATTAATGTAGTTTACTGCACAGTAAACATGTGTGTCTACATGTGAGCACACTACCTATGCAGTAAAAACCTTTAATCCCACTTAAATATGCTTACTATGCAGGGCTCAGCCAGCAGCCACCTGGTCCCTGCCTGCCCATCTTACCATGGTCCCTGGGCACCCATGCATGCTCAGCCCCTGATCTAATCCCAGGCAGCACACAGCCCCTGGTACAGAGCATTTTACCTCTGAAATCTTGGAAAGTCTCACAAAAGTCTTCTGTCTCTTGCTCGGCAGGTCCTGCATTTGGATGTGGGGGACAGGCCACACCTGACAGCAGGGATGCCAACTTAACCACAGACCACTGCAGGTACAGAGTCAGAGTTCCCAACAGCAGGGCCAGGACCACACACCATCCCTGCTGACCATGGACAGTGCATAGCAGAGGGAGAGTTTTCCACTCTGCAGGACCAGAGCCCACCGTTGCCCCTGGGAAGTCCCACCACCACCACACTTCCCGCAGTGTCCACACCTGTGGGGAAATGGGCAGAGGTCAGGATGCTGGCCGCCTGCCCCCAGGCTCTGCCCCCTAGGCGCCCCCACCTCATAGCCCTACCACTCTATTACCACACAAAAATAACTTTGTAAATAGTTTGCACAGGGAAGAAGTTTTGTTATTGATGGTGGATGGTGGAAGGTCTCTGTTTTCTGAGGAGGAAGGGGAGAGGGGGGAAGGAAGGAGATCTGTTTGATGTGAGGGAAATAAAGACTTGTTCTTCTGACATGTTCCTGGAGTAAGTGTGGTGCAAGGGGTGGACAGGTGGGGTTGGGGGCCCATGGGTGATGGTGAAAGTGAGCTACAGCAGGGAGTGCTGGGGGAGGTCATCAGCCAGGCCCTCCCATACCCAGTGTCCTGACCCCCAGTGACAGGTGTGTGGCTCTCCTGGGATCTGGGAGGTGGCTACTAGGTCCAGCAGGGCCAGCACCATGGGCAGCAGTAGCATGGGGCATTGATTGTCACTGCCAGGGGCAGGGGATAGAGCATCCATGGTGTGGCGAGGCAGAGTGGGCAAGGAGAGAGTTGCTGCATGCTGCCTCTGTGCCTGGCACACTGCTTCTGGGCAAGGAAGGGGCTGGCCAGACAGCAGAGAGCAGGGCTGCCTTTTAAACATGGCTGCCAGGTGCTGGCAGCTGCAGCCAGAGCCTAGAGTCACCACCGGTGGTGGTAGGGGCCCATTACAGGGCAGCATAATACTGGGTGCAAAACTTCTCCCTAATCTCCACATGTGTAGACACCTGCCTGAAAATGCTTAAAACAGACAATCTTACACCAGAGTAAACTTAGGGAAGAGTAAATGCATGTGTAGATGTGCCCACAGTGTTGTGAATTCACACCTAGCTTATTAGAGGCAAATTCCCAAAACAGCAAAGGCATAAGAAATCTGTATAACACTCGTGGTAAAATGTATCCCTGTATAGAGACTTCTGCACCATTTATATATCAATTGAAACTTCAAACAAGAAAATGTATTAGACAGTTGAGGAGTGAATGCCACTCACTTCCTATGCCCCCAAACCTTCCATTCAGTCAGTGGGAGTTTACTTGAGTAAGCATTGTCCTTTTTAACTTTGTAGTATAAATTAGTAAGTCATAGAACAGCTTCTTTGCATTGCCTTTATTTTTTTGGAATGATGCAGCTGAGGCTCATGAATTTCCTGTGGACCAACTTGGATGAGATTATTTTCCACTTTAGGTTTCTTGGCATCTGTTCTTTGGCCTTCAACGGGAGAAGATTTGCTAGACAAACATTCACACCTGGTAGTAAAACAATAGATGCTAATAAATAAATTATTAAAATGGGATGGGACTGGAACCTTGATATACAGGGTTTCCAGGAAAGTAATCATCTATGACTTCAAGCCAACAGAGAGACTGTTTTTGTATTCTGCCTACAAATCTTGCAGAACAGAAAAAAATAAAAACAAAATCTCTCCCTTCTGAAGCAGAAATTACAAAATAATGGAATGTATAAATAATGTCAATTTTTTTAAAATGCTCGTATGTAGTAAGAGAAAGAAAGGCAGAGTTTTGTAGAAATATATTTTCCATAAACAGGGAGAGATTTTGCATGGTAGAAAAAATGCAGTAAACAAACATCTTTCTTTGTTTACACACTTGTAGAGATAAAGGTATTTGTGTTAATTAACTTGTGTACCAGACAAACTAATATATTGTGGAAATACTAGAGATATGAGCATAATGTATTATACGTATCTTGTGTGCTGTGTTAAAAATATCAGTGGGGCATATTTTACACAATCCTAACAACTACACAGCTCTAGATATTGTTATTTAACCTATATGAGTAATTCCAGTAACATCACTCTTGGAGTAAGGATGTCATTAGTGGATCAAAGTTGTTTGTTTTTTTTAAAGATTCTTCATGTATTGTGCGCACCTTGGCAGAAGTACCCTTCCGATTAGACTAGAATATGTGTTTCTATTGATACTATTTTATATTGGTCTTGCTGAACTCTACCTACCAATCTCCTAGCTGGGATGTTACTTCAAACTGCCTGATGAGTCACAGACCTCCAGTGTTGGGTAATTGTTTAAAATACCCGTCCATATTTTCCTTTCTCCTTCACTTGAAATTGTTATTGATACATATTCTTACAACGTAATCAGGGCTAGAAGAAAAATTCACTAAAAGGTTCAAGATGACAACATGAGACAGACGATGAGTGGGTGGATTTTCTTCATGTTCCATCTGTAAACCATTTTAAAAATAACATCTTAGAAATGTTTGTTGTAGGGAATGGCATCGGGGCTGAAGAGTAGATTTGAGATGCTTGGGGCAGATCCTTGCTGGTGAATGGAGTTATGACAATTTATATACAGTAAGAATTGATCTTACTATTTTCTGTAGCCGGTGCCATACTGCATATCTGAACTTCCAAGGCAGGATGTTATTTCAAACCTGAAGTATATGCTGAGATTTCAACCTACCTGACTTTTTGTAAGGGCTGCAGTGGTGTTTTTGGGTAAAAAAAAAAAAAGTAAGAATTCTCTGATCCAGTAAAGTACTTAAACATATTTAACTGATGTCAATAGAGCTATTTACATGCCTTTGGTTGAAAAGGATGTTCAATATTAAGCATATTTTTTAACTAAAAACTTTATTTTTTATAGGAATAGACTGAAAAGTCTTTGAATATAATTCCCACAGCATGTTTTTTCTGTTATATTGGCCTTTTTTGATTCCACATATGTTGTAGAATTCCTAGGGAGAGGAAATTTAAACTAAAACAATGAATGGTATTCAGAATAAACAAATTCGAAAACAAAAAATCAATAAATGTATTTATATATTTGTCTCCTTTGCATTTTTGGAACAAAAATGTTTAACTAGGAGTGTATTAATGGAATCATAAATTCAAAAAGAGAGAAACTATATGGGCCATTTAAAGATAATGGTATTTCAGCTCTACACAGGTGATAATTAACTTATATGTAAAGAATAGGATAGCCTAAATGAGACCATTTTAAAACCATATTGTATTATATTAGATACATAAATGATAAGGCTGTGTGCCTCAGTGCATGCTGTAAGCTAAATTCAGAAATTGTCCAGGATTGCAAAGTAAATTAATAGTACCTAGGTACTACATGTACCATTTACTTCACACTAATCTTGTCCAGTAAAAAGAAAAATAAGATTCATGGAGCACAGTATCACAAAGAAAATATTTTACCTGGAGATTTCAAAAGAATGTGGTGACCTTTGTGGTACATTTAGTAGGGATTTTCTTTGCAGGTACAGGCATTATGTCTTAATCCTAGGGTCATAATTGCTCCTAGAGTCTGTTGCTGAAACAGCTCTCTACACACAACTGATTTTTATTCTTCCTCCACCTTAAAAAGACTGGAGAAGATAGGCCTCTTCTAGCACACCAAGATGTACAACTATCTTAGAACTTGCTTTTACCAAGAAGCAGAAAAAGAATTGAGAGCTGGGGGAGTCTTAACAAGGAGCTCTGAGATGGAAGTCAACTGCATCAAAGAATGGGGAAATACCTCAGCACAGAGGAGTGGAAATAAGGAGAAGAAAAAATAAGTAGAACTTCAGCTTCTGGGATGACTCAAAAGGTAAGTACCGAAGAAGCTGAAGTGGGAAGCTAGACAGGGAGGAGAAGACAACTATGGTTTAAAAGATTCAATTAAACTGCTAGTGTGTTGTGGGGGGGCAGGGGGGCATTGCGATTCACTGGGGAAGAATTGATTTTTGACTGGAGAAGGGAAATTGATCGAGTGCACGTGTGTGTGTGTGTGTGTGTGTGTGGGCGGGGGGGATTCATTTTGATTTGTCTGAGGGTGAAGGAAATCAATTTGTGAAGACTTGATTGTGGACTGAATTGATTTTGAGGGTGTTGGCAGTAAGCAGTGTTACAGAAGGAGCAGGAGAGAATATGTATGTCAATGTAAGGAGAATTGACTTTGACTGTGGAGGACAAAGTGACTGAGAATTGATTTTCATGGTGGAAGGAAATTGATCCAGAGGGAGGGAGAAAAATCATTTTGATTTGTCTTTGTACTGGAAATTGTGATGATGGTGGGGAGACTGATTTAAAATTTGGGTGTTGACACATGATTTTGACTGTGGGTGGTAGTCTGAGAATGGCAGTAGTACTAGCAGGTCCCACAAACCAGAGGCAGAAGATGAAATAGTCTATGAGATCACCTTGTTTCCAAGAAATCACCTACATGATGAAAAAGCTTAGAAATTCTAACATACAATACTGACTCACGGAAAGGCACTTTCTTTTAAAAAAGACAACTTTACCTTTACTGCTTTGGCCTTACCTATAGAGATTTAATCCAAGCACTCCCACTACCATGTTGAAACATGGAGACACTGGTACATGAGATGCTGTGGCACTTTAATTAGAGCAGCTCTGAGAGCCACATTAATTAAAGTGCCACCACTCTCACAATGCCAAAGCATGTGTAAAGGTGCCCATTGAGATTATTATTGCCCCTTACTTCTCTCCTTACAACCCATATCTGGTTTCTCTTGATATAATTTTTAAAACCCCTCTTTCTCTAAAATGTTGAAGCCTCTCCTCCTCTGGCCTCCTTGACTGTGGCTTCTCAGGTTGAGAATTAGATGGTGTTGTCTTTTCTTGCTGTTCTATCTTATCCACTACTTCACAGTGCTGTTCCTTCCACATCATGTTCAAGCTCCTCAGCCTCATCTTTTCATTTGGGACAGCTCTGTCTGCCTGCATCTCAGCTATCATCTTTCATTGCTGCCTGCTATCCTTACCTCCTAACAACACCTTGCCCACTTTTCTTTTTTCTTTTTCTGTTGCCTGCTTCCTTTTAGTTGGAACAATATCTTCTGAACTAAGTGCCCCCTCTTTGTTTGCAAATGTTTTAACAAAAAATCCCTCATTTCATTTCCTTCCTATTACTGACCCCCATTTTGGTACTATCAGCATCTTCCATACTGGCTTGCCTCTGTCAAAACTTAAACAAAACATACAATTGATGAGATAAATATTCCCTACCTCTCACTCGCAGCCTTCAGGCAACTACTCCCTAACCTTGTCCAACTCAACGTCATCAGAAGCAAATTCCATGAATATTAAGTGGCA